ATCAGAGATAAGTGGAATAGTGAATGTTACAAGCTTCTGAGTATCCAGCTGAGATAGGGGACTTTTAGTCCCCTATCTCAGCTTGATAAACAAAATTTTTTTGGTTGCTAAGACGGTGCGGCTCGTTATGGTCTATATGAAAATAGCGAGTTGGGAAATCACGAGGACGTCTAAGGACTAGGCTGTAGTGCCGTATCTGAAGGTCACTACCGCCTCTCGCACCACCATTGACCTATCAATAAACTTATATGAGCTATCCTCAATTTATCGTAATAGATAGGACTAAAACTTTTACTTCCCAGTCAGGAGTCCTGTTCTAGAGAGCACTATATGCCTTATAAAAGTCGATTGCAATCTATTCTCCGTATAAGGAACCTAGTACATTATAGTATTTTTTTCATGCGTAATCTGTTTTCTTTGTTCGCAGAACAACTTCCAGAAACTGTCAACCCAAGCACAACATACTTTTTCTAAAAACTCACAAAACTGGAAGCAGTACCTTGACAAACATATTGAACCGCTATGGGGACATACACAACTTAACCTTCGCGTTACCGCAGGATGGTTTTTATAATTTCTACTGGCCCTTACCATTCGAGAAATCATTTATAAAAGACACAAAGGGAAACCAACCTAACATCTTGTGCCACCATGCCAGATGGAACAAGAATCCAATGAAGGAGTTGATGGCCTTGGACTCAGTTTTTATCACAATACTTCGAAATCCTGTCACGCAGTTCGAATCGACTTTTTCCTACATGGAGTTTGCACACCTTTTCGGAATCGAAACAGGAAGAGATTCCATCGAAGCTTTTATAGCTGATCCTAACGGTATCATGACAAAATTTGCAAACAGTTCACCAGCAGAAAATGTCTTTCCTTATCTTAATTTGTTGAAAAATGGGCAGTTTTTTGACTTAGGATTGGACAGTATTTATTTTCACGACGAAGAGAAGGTAAACACGGCCATAGATGAGATTGCCCGAAATTTTAACCTAGTACTTTTGATGGAATATTTCGATGAATCTCTCGTCTTACTTGCCAACGAAGCATGCTGGGATGTACGAGATGTTGTGTATTTCAAGCTTAACCAGCGAAAATCCGCAGACAAAGAAGACAAATTTTCTAACGAACTCGTTGAAAAAATTCGTATGTGGAACCGAGCCGATGTGCTGCTTTATGATTATTTCAACAAAACGTTCTGGAATCAAATTAAAAAGTTAGGATCCGCGTTTAAGGCTGACGTAGAGCGTCTAAGATATTACAATGAAGTTTTGAGAGAATCCTGTTTAGTTCCCGGGGTGTATAATACAAAAGCCTACACCAAGCAAGCGAGACCAGTTCGTGGCTACGCCCTGAAGGAAAACCTGGACACCCCTCTGAAGACTCTTTGTGAAAAAATGATAACCAACGAGCTAGACTATTTGCAGCTTCTTACAGGACGAGTTTAAGTTTTCATCTCATGACGTATGATTAGTACAACCTTTTACAGCAAGGACTCCAAAAGTGCGACCTCCTTTAATTAACTCACATTCTTTCATGTAGACATTAACCAATCAGAAGCGTAGGACAGTATCCAGCTGGCTTCTGATTNGCTGCTTTATGATTATTTCAACAAAACGTTCTGGAATCAAATTAAAAAGTTAGGATCCGCGTTTAAGGCTGACGTAGAGCGTCTAAGATATTACAATGAAGTTTTGAGAGAATCCTGTTTAGTTCCCGGGGTGTATAATACAAAAGCCTACACCAAGCAAGCGAGACCAGTTCGTGGCTACGCCCTGAAGGAAAACCTGGACACCCCTCTGAAGACTCTTTGTGAAAAAATGATAACCAACGAGCTAGACTATTTGCAGCTTCTTACAGGACGAGTTTAAGTTTTCATCTCATGACGTATGATTAGTACAACCTTTTACAGCAAGGACTCCAAAAGTGCGACCTCCTTTAATTAACTCACATTCTTTCATGTAGACATTAACCAATCAGAAGCGTAGGACAGTATCCAGCTGGCTTCTGATTGGATTAAATCTGTACGAAAGAATGTGAATAAATCAAAAGCGGTCACAATTTTTGGGCTCCGTTATAAGATTTACCGTTTTTCAATGATTTTCCGTATTTTCGTTAACATCGATCTATCACCCCCCACCCCCCCTCCCAAAATAAATTTTGCACAACCTTTGTTTTTAAATTCTTCTGATATTTCAGTGGTCCCAAGTAAATGAACACATGCTTAAGCAAAACTTTGGGCAGCAAACAAGGGGTATTATAGCCTGCGAACAGCAGACGCATTTCCGGTCGTCGGGAGAGAAGCGACGACCGGAAATGCGTCTGCTGTTCGCAGGGTAGGGGTATTACGGAAGATGTGCAAATGGCGAATATGCGGTTTGCCTCATTAAAAACACATAAATGAATAATTCGCATTTTATCTATAACATCATTATAATCAGATAACGGAATAGATAATTTTTAATTCGGTTAAAAACACTAGTAGATTTCGAGGTGGCGAGGGGAGCGCAACCGGAATCCCCTTTTTAATCTGAAATCTGTTTAGAAAAACAAAAATTTAACACGTGTATGAGTTACATGCATGCATAGTGTCATAGTTTCTTTTTGTTTTACCGTTTTCTTTGTTTAGTTGTAATATTGTATTACATCCTTTGTTTTTGTCGCCACCACGCAGAAACTACGGTATCTCAATAGGCCATTTGCGGCTAGCCATGCACGTGGTACAAAACCGTCATGCTAGAGAGCAACTAAAGTCGTATTGGGAAAAGACAAACAAAAGGCATACATAGTTTTAAATGGTAATTTCAGCCAATTTCCTTTGTTTGTCTTCTCCCAGTGCGACTTTTGCTCTCCAGCATGGTGGTTTTGTACTACGTGAATGGCTAGGTGCAAAGGGCCTATACTTATGGAAAGGACAATTGTCTAAAAAGAATTATTTCCTGCACTTCAAATTTACAATCAAATTTAAGGAGGTAAGGTTCAAATGACAATGATAACCAACTTTCATAAGAAAGGCTTTTGCATTTTAAACAAATCGCACCTCTCTAACGATGAAAATAAGCCTTTAAGGAACTAAAAAGTCGCAATTATTTACAAAAAATAAAATTAAAGATGAGAAGTTCGACACAAACTGTCGATAAACTTATATTTGGGCTTTAGGAAGAAGTAACAATCCCAGGTAAGTAAACAGTGTCAATTATTGCAGAGTTGTTACGGTGGTGGCGGGTAGAATTATTGGTGGCGATTTCGTTGGTGGCGAAATGACCGTAAATTAAACCACACTGAGTATCAACGTTCACTAGGACGCGAACAAGTGAAAGTTAGAATACCGATGTTGTTTTGTGACTTTTCAGTAACTACAGCTCCTGGTAACTATGAAAAATATTGTATTTGATATAAGCCAGGAGTGTAGCCAGCCTATAGACCTGTAGGCCCGCGCGTACAAATTTGTGGGTTGATCACTCTCAAAGTGCTGGTGAGGTCAGCACGAAAGTGTCATGCGTGCAATTTTCAGGATATGTGGAAATGAAAGTCAGCTAGGCCTACAACAGGTCGAAACGCTGGTTACGCCCCTGTATTGATGATGGCTTGTGAATGCGTAATGTTGAATACAAAACCCGCGACTAGGAACATGTTTTTTGAGAACCTGAGGCAGTCCCCCTCTATACAAGAACCTGTTTAACCTAAAATTTGAAACAGGTTCTTATTTTCTAACACTTGGGCAAATAAGATAAGTCAACATTCAGGATCCTCTTTGTCCCATACGTTTTTCGCATTTCTTTTTACTGAACGACTTTTCACCACACGGAGCCTGGAACAGGCTACTTTGCCCCGGGTCTTTGGAGACACGTGTCCGAAATCTCTTTAACTGCATAGTATATTTTCAGATTTTATTTAAGGATAAGCTGGATACCACCAGATACTAAAAATGTATTTTTCCCTTCAGAAAATGAAAACTTGTTTACTCACTAGTTTCCTTCCCCCCCTCTCATTTAGGCTCTGAATTCCACTTGGTGCCTCTCCCCCTCGCTCCCATCCCCCACCCCCCTCCGCCTGGTTTAATTTCACAGGCCGTACACATCAATGCACGTCGGGAGAGAGCAACCTCTTCCCCAAGTTCTTCTTGTTTTCCGATGCCTTCTTTCGGAAAAAGAGAAAGGAGGAAGCCTTGGGGAAGGACTGTAGCCTCCCACGCAGACGTTGTTAGGGTTTCGTCACGCGTTCCTGCCCCACGGACGTCTGCTGACTTGAGCGGAAAAAAACGTAGACCAATCACAGCAGACTTCCAGATCTGGGAAGTGCACTTTGGACCTTGAGAAATTTCGCACTTGACTTTATCTGTTTATAGCTCCAGGAAAGATCATAAAAGTCTCATGAAAGGTGAAGACCTTACAGTTTTAGAACAAACTACTCAGTAAACTCACAAGCGTTCATACAAGTGGTTACCCTCACAATCTCATTGAAAAAAAATTACCTCGGGGGTTAAATTTGCTGAACGGAAGTCGGCTTTACTACAAAACAATAACGTGTGAAAAAAAAAAAATCCCCGTCTTACAAGGTAATCCTGCCGTTGCATCACCTAAAGAACAACTTTACGAACAAATGACATCAAATCCAGCCTTCACAGAGAGAAATATACAAAAACCTAACGCTACTCTCCTAGATTCTCGTCCGGAGCAAAAATCTTTGGTCACCTTCACACTCTACGGAGCTTGTACGTATGTGTTTGGCTTGTCAACACTTTGACTTCAGCAGCGCCGATTGTGATTACCTGCTGATATTTGCGAACAAAAGGAATTTATCTTTCGGTTCAGGGGCCCGTTTCTCGAAGCTCCCGGTAATTACCGGGCCCGTTAAGCTGTTTTGTTTTCCATTTTAGAAGGGAGTTTTAAAAGTTTTGAAAATTATACAGTAGAGTTATTAGCTAACGAAACAAAATGGACTTCATTACAGGTCAGAACACACCCTACTTTTCTTGAGACTTTGACTTAAAAATATGATTCCGGGCCCGTTAAGTTAACGGGACTTTCGAGAAACGGGCCCCAGGAGACGTTCGTGGGGCAGGAACGCGTGACGAACCTATAAGAAAGTCTGCGTGGGAGGATAGAAGGAATGGGGACGAGGTTTCTGAAGGTTTCGGCGCGACAACACGCTCGAACACGCTCAACGTCAACTTCGGCAAACAACATCAATGGCTCAGTATCAACATCCTGTCCAGCAACAGCCAGGTATTCCTGCAGTTATCTTATGCTTAACTTGCAAACTAAACGACTTTTTAAAAGGAAAAACTGAAATCGCCAAGACTGGCGAACTGGCACGTACAGTGTGGTCACTGATTTCACGCTTTTGATTTCAGGGCTTTTAGCTAGAAAAGGACATTTAGTGTACTCCTGAAGAGTTGAAAATTATCTGCCCTTTAGCTACAGGCGATTCAACACTTTAGTCTACCGTATCTACAGGATAATTCAACACACTAGAACGTATAGCTAGCAGCATAGCCTACTGTATAATATTAACTCAAGCTATTTGGGGGTTTGATATCAGTCGGCATCAATTAAGCTTAAATCTGTGCAAGTGTTGAATCGTAATCGTTTATGACAATTCAGCGCACTAAAATAGCAAAAACCAAACGACAAGTCACACACTGAAATGCTCTACTTTTCGATTGTTTATAACTTGAAATAGCTGGCTACGAATATACATAATGCATTTAATGTTTACAAAATTATGTAGGGCTCCTTAATATTCTGAATATTCATACTTTTCGAGTGTTTATAATTTGAAATAGCTGGCTACGATTATGTAATGTTTACAAAATTATGTAGGGCTCCTTAATATTCTGAATATTCATAAGCTCTAAAGCGGAATTTCCTGGAGGGTTAAAGGCTTTTTAATACCTTGGTTTGTTATTGCAGGAGAAATTGACCTACCATAACAAATTTAATAATTTGATAATTTGCTTTAAGTCCTATATTACTAAATAATTTTCTGGATTAAGTCAAATCAAACACAGCTGTCAGAATGCTATCCAGATTTCAAAGATGGATTTTAGTTCGAACAGGATCTTAAGAATTTGTGGAATTAACAGAATTTAAATGGCTATGGTTATCGGACTTACCAAGTCTCACCACTTTGTCGTGAGTCTGACGGTTTTACGACCTATTTCAAGCTCTCACGAGTTGACAACTGATTTATCATGCTTTAACGAAAAGTCAAACTCCAAAAGAATTTTGGAGTTGTAGGGTTTATTTCCAAGTTAGATATCAATACATAGCCAGCTCAATCCAAAAAAATCGCTTAGCAGTCGCATTTGATTACATTCTTTTAGCCTACCGCAACTTACCACCAACTGTGCAGACTTACTGTTTCTCTTGTTTCAAGATGGCCACCATAGAAATTACAAAACCTAAATTGTAAAATTGATTGTGGTGTTTACTGCTGCAACTTTGAAGTGATGTGTGACTTCCAATTACCCATAATCCCCACTGGAAGTCCCTTCTGTAGGAAATTTGGGGCATCTCATGACTTTTTACCCATTTGTCACTACTTTTCCCAGCTCTAGGTTCAGAGTCTCACATATTTTCAATTTTGCCTTTTGGGGGTTGGCTAGTCTGGGTAATTGTCATGAATTTTTCAGAAAATGATAAAATGGATACTTACACATACCAAGTCTTTTTGATAGAAGATGATTCAGTCAAGGTTTAACCCTTTAAGTTCCAATGGTGACCAGCATCAATATTCTCCTAATAATGTCCATACATTGTTAGGAGTTTAGGTTATGAGAATTAATAAAATGATTACCAAAGAGAAAATACCTTGATCTTTTATCAAATTCTCTTAACTCATTCTTAAAGGAAATGTATGGAGACCAGTTTGGAGAATTTGTATGTGGATATTGGGACTTAAAGGGTTAAAGTAGTTTCACATACTTGGCTAAAAGAACAAGGAATGTTCACACCAAATATTTTTCTTGTCAGAATGCAAACAATACTTGAAAGTGATTAGGATTGTTAAGCTGTTTCATGGCTTGAGTTCATATCAAAACAACTTGTATCAAAATGACCATGCTTCAGGTTTCCACCTTAAGGCCACTTGAAAGAGAGTGAAAATAAGTGCGAATGAAAAATTAAGAACAAAAGAGTTAATGAAAATCAATCATGCCTTTTATGACTAATATTGTGCCTGGGAAATTTGGTAACATGTTGAGCTACATATTTATGTGTGACAAAAAGGGTCTCTTTGTGGCAAATCGTGCCATTTCTCCACTGGCCTACAAATTTAATAGCTTTGTAAGAAATTCTTTCGATCAGTATTTGGTAACTTAAAGATAGAGACTTGACGGTTTTAAGTTGACCATGCTTGGTCTACTGAATGGTCCTGACTACAACAAAGAAATGGTGATATGTACGTAAAACCGGTAAACTCAAGTTATTTTTTAGGTAGATATTAAGAAACTCAATACCTCTCCATAAAAAAATATACAAGGAAAGCAAGAAGTGTTTCATCTTGTAAAGTACATGTATGGGCATATTAGCCAGGGCAGGTTACTGGAGGTTATGAAACTACCCCATCTTCTTGGCTATGACAATTTTTTATGAGGGAAAAAAAGCACCAAAAGGCCCACACTTTCTGCCAGATTACATTCTGTAAGTCGATCTTTGCTGTTCAAAAGATGTTATTCGGGCAATGACTCTTGCAGGTGTTCCTGGTCAAATGAATTGGATGCCACCTCCTCAGGCACCAATGGGTTGTCCTCCTGGACTGGAGTATTTAACTGCCATTGATCAAGTGCTTGTGCAACAGCAAATTGAGCTTTTAGAAGGTACGTTGTCTGTGTATTCTTCTAACTGTACCTAAACAACTTACAGAAGTTTGTAGTTTATGCTTAGTCATATACATGCTGTGGTTCAGTTTTATCCTTGGTATAATTTTAATTTTTCCTTGTTTCAAACTAGTTTATCACACACATTATTATACCCAAAAACAAAGGAAAATAAAATTCAAACCAAGGAAAATGTAGACCACATTATATAATTATATACCTGTACATGACTCATGATGCAAAGAAAGTCAGCCAGCAAAAGTAATAGCCCAAAAGTCATTCTAACTAGCTGGAACAAAATTGCTGATGAGCAGAACTCTCTGCTTAAAGTTCATCTGTAATTTGAATTCCCCCCAAAAAAGCTTCACTTGCCCATTGGGCAAGTTCAGAACCGAATTCACTTAGCCTGGTAGCATTATCCACTAACCATGGTGTTGTCGTCATTTCACTGTTCTTCAAGATTCATTTGATTCTCAGTGTGTCTCAGTATTTTAACAATTCAAGTTAATTAGCATTCACGCGTCGTAATCGGGCTCGCCTCTTTTCCCTTCTACATTTTGAGGATTAATAGAATGATTTGCTGAAAAAGGAAAAACCCAAATATCCTGATGAGAAATTCACTCAAAGGATGAAAAACTCTTAGAAAAAACTACTTACACTAGCGTGAATTGTCTCCGGGTCTTCGGTTTCTAAATCTGAATTTTTCTGTTCATCTCAACTGCTATCTCAAAACTGAATTTTAAAACATAGCGCTCGAATGCAAAAATACCCTTAGGGAATTTAGGGGATGCGTTGTTATCGGCAACAGATTTAATTTATAACACATAGGGCTATCGGACACTACTTTCTTTGCACGCTTATGGCTGTGTAAAATAATATATTTTTGAAACTTTTGGTTTTCTGTTCAAATAAAGATCAAAATCTATCGCCAGGAGAAAAATGAGCCTTTCTTACTTTTCGCATGACAGCTCATACCCTGAAAATGTAGCCTCTGCTCACAGTGTAAAACAAAGGGGAAACCAGTAAAAAGACATGGAGGACAAGTTTATTCTTTTAGCTTGAATTTTACTTAGCATAATTTATGACCTTTTTCTATATTTAAAGCTTTTGTGGGATTTGAGACCAACAACAAGTACAAGATATGTAATTCCATGGGTCAACAAGTCTACTTTGCTGCTGAAGGTATGTTGAATAAGTCAAGCAATATATTAATGTCTAGCTTGGGACCAGGCTCTGCATTGTGGGAAGAAGGAGCAAAAATCAGCATTGGATACTATTTGTCTCGCTTCGCTCGCCGATAGTTTTCCTGTTTGACCCCGTTTTTTGCCTTTTTCTCCCTCTGCGGAGCCCGGTTCCAGGCTACTTAATGTCATGTTTTGTTTGTTGTTTTTTTAAGAACTCTTTACAGCTGTAGCAATTATATTGACATAAGATATGCTTACATAAAATAATTATACTTATGTATCTTCAGACACCGACTGCTGTACTCGGCAATGTTGTGGCCCTGGTCGTCCATTTGAGATGAAAATTTTAGACAACATGCAAAGAGAAGTCATACACTTGTCCCGGCCCCTCCGGTGCCAGTGCTGCTGTTGTCCTTGCTGTCTTCAGGAAATAGAAGTGCAGTCCCCACCCGGGACAGTCATTGGATACGTGGAACAAAAGTGAGCTATTTTAACTGAGATCCTTAGAGTAAAACTCAGAAAACTGTGAACACCTGAAAAATTTCAGTTATGTTGATTGTGTAGTGACCAGATTACATTAAAGTTCAGGATAACATGCCAGCAAACCTTAAAACCACAAACTAGTTACTGTTGCTGTCTAATGCAGTTCAGTTTTGTCGTGCCTTATTGGCTTTTACCTTGCAACATATCATAAAAATTTCTGGCGTGTGAGTTTCACAATACATAAGTGTGTTCTCATAGGCCAAGATCTAGTTAGACTGTTCACAGTCCCCTATTTTTCCGTGTGATCGTCGAGATCGAGCGCGTCTCACCATTAATGGCGGCCATCTTGATTTTTATATGTACCGAGGGGGCGGGCGTCGGGGATTATCGCCAAACCGTCCCCCGCCCCCTAAGTAGATTTGATACTCATCCCCAGGTTAGACTCGGTACGACTGAAAATCAAGATGGCCGCCATTAATGGTAAGACGCGCTCGATCTCGACAATCACACGGAAAAATAGGGGACTGTGAACAGTCTAAGATCTAGTCTGGTATTTAAAATTACAAGAGGTACTAAAAATTAATTGAAGTGAGTAATGCTAGTATAAACAACTGCATTTTAGAATTGAGCTTCAGGAAGTTGACATACTATCCTATAACTCTTCGGGCTTTGAAAGAAATAAGTTTTGGCTGTTGTGGCATGATGTTACAAACTAAGGAATAATTATTCTTCATTGCCAACGTGAAAAGAAAGTAGTGTCCGATAGCCCGGGGCTAGTGGATTTTGCTATCAGGCTAGTGAATTCTGTTTTTAACTTGCCTGACGGGCAAGTGATGTTTTTTGAGGAATTCGATGAACAGAAGAACTGTGAAATCAATTCTGCTAGTCAAAAAGTTTTTGGGGTTAGTTGAAATGACGTCTGGGCTAGTAAATGCTAGCTTTAGCTTGCCCGAATGGCAAGCTGTAAAAATGATTTTCTTTGTGCCCTGATTGCCAACATGCAGTTTCTTGAAATTTACCCAGAGCTTTTTAAACCCATAGATCTGGATCCCATCATTATAGTGATGCTTGCGGTTACACATGCATTTGGGTCCTCCTTTTTTGAGGCTGCAAATTTTTTTTTTGGCATTGGGGGGAAGTATTAGCCTGATCATGGTTCATTGCCAATAATCAATCATGAATGTTACGGTCTTGTGGTTCTTGCATGAAAGGAGGTGGTTTTTGTGGCCAATATTTTTTACCCTGGCTGGCCAGTCATTTAGGAAAACATATTTTGATCAGTCTGGAGAATAAATTGCATGTAGATATTGAGGCTCACCATTTTAATTAATTAATCTATTTATTTGTTTAAATCAGGTGGACGTTGTGGAAAGCAAAGTTAGAAGTGCAAGATGCGCAACGTCAGCACATTATGACGATCAATGGACCTTGCTGTCCTTGCAGCTGTGGCTCTGATGTGGAATTTCCTGTGAGTTGTTAGGTCAAAGAAATAACCCTATCATTGAAATAATGTTAAATTTTGTTTGCCACTGACTATTTGTACAGTTGATTAAAGACTTGTTGGCAATCACGTAATCTTTAAGTCCTAATACAGGGCTGTGCTTTAGCAGAGCCCGGTGGCCCCTGGCGCCTAACTTTTGCCCTCAGGCGACCAGAAAATCTCAGATTTTTCATAAATATCATATGCTGGGCACCCTAGATTTGACAGTTTTANGTGGACGTTGTGGAAAGCAAAGTTAGAAGTGCAAGATGCGCAACGTCAGCACATTATGACGATCAATGGACCTTGCTGTCCTTGCAGCTGTGGCTCTGATGTGGAATTTCCTGTGAGTTGTTAGGTCAAAGAAATAACCCTATCATTGAAATAATGTTAAATTTTGTTTGCCACTGACTATTTGTACAGTTGATTAAAGACTTGTTGGCAATCACGTAATCTTTAAGTCCTAATACAGGGCTGTGCTTTAGCAGAGCCCGGTGGCCCCTGGCGCCTAACTTTTGCCCTCAGGCGACCAGAAAATCTCAGATTTTTCATAAATATCATATGCTGGGCACCCTAGATTTGACAGTTTTAGAGCACAAAGGGAAAATTTTCTCAACTAATTAGTATAGGTAATAGCATGATTTGAAGTGATATTTGGCATAAATACCACAAGTGATATTTCAAAATTGTTCTACGTAATTTCACGAGCCGTTATGCGAGTGAAATTTGAGACAATTTTGAAATATCAAAAGTGGTATGTATGCCAAATATCACGTACAAATCATGCTATTATTTGTTTTATACTACTACCTGCAAAAGGTTTGTAATTTTCACATGTAGGTATTTCAAATTAAGCTGAAATATTAGTAGTATAATATGTAGTAGTATAAGACAGTATATACAGTGTACTCACTCGGTAGTATTTATTCTGGAAATTCTCGAGAACGGAACATCGTTTCAACAAGTTCAAACACTTGTTGAAGAAAAGGGGGTCATTATTTCATCTGAAATAAAAATATTTCTTCTCTACCTGGCGATACTTTTTCCTTGATTTTAATTAAAATTAAATTTGCAACCTTTCTTTGAAAAAAGAAGCTTACAAAGTGTTAACAACCTTTATTCAACATCTGAGTGACATAAAGACTTTATATGACTGCAAATTGGTGAAGAAATCTGCACTGTTTTGGGCTTCATCAGCTTCATCCACTATGGAAAAAACCTTTCTTCCAACAAGCCTTCGCTTTTGAGAAGCACAGTTTCTTCTAAATATTATTTGGTCTCAAACATTTGTTAGAATTTGGCATGGTATTCAGAAAATCGGGAAACCGAAACTCAATATTTCAATGGAGCACTAAGTTCAATTATGATTTCTACTTTGTGTACTAATTATATTTTATTTACGTTTTGTCGTTTTACATTAGGTCAGTTCTGCGGATGGCAGCAGTGAGATTGGAATGATTTCCAAGCAATGGTCTGGTTTTGCGCGAGAATTTTTCACAGATGCGGAGAATTTTGGCATTCGATGTAAGGAATGTTACCTAAAATATTATCAAAATAAGTCCTATAAATGCTTTATATGATAGGACATTTAGATGACACAGTCGACATCTGCCAATTACGTTTCTTGACACATTCTGCTGTAGACGTTATACCACAGTTTACAGTGTATGTGGAATACTGGGACGGTATAAATGGCTTGTTCCACACTAAACAAGTTACATGTACAAGCAGTGTTAGTTTCTTGTTTGTTTTCTTTTCCTGGGAAAGCCTACGTCACTATTAGGCTTAGACACCATGTCAAAAATATAAAAAATGGCTGGAGGGGAAATGATGTTCTTCGACACACGCGAACGCTAGGAGCACACGAAAAAAAAACAAACAAACAAAAACAGGGAGATCGTTTCTGTCCCATTACAGGAGCGCGTAAAGTGACGCCTACTGTTCAGTACTTTTTCCAGCCTTTTTTTCTCGTATTTATATTTGATGAATGCGTCAGGTGTGCTAGTGATATCACTCCGTACCCCTACAGTAGCCTGAGGGAGAGAACAGTTTTGGGGCGAAAAACGCATCGTTTCCTTCCCTCACCCCACCCCCTGAGAACCTACTTACAGGGTACCTCTCTCCCTTCTTGCTCTTGTTTTGCTTCTTATTTGTCGCGTTCCCTCCAGTTTGCGTTGAGAAAAATAAATAGGGAGCTTTAGCAATGGCGACGGCAGCGAACACGTTACTTGTAAAATGAATTCGCGTCTCTTCAAACTTCGCTGAAAATCAGGGGCACCCAACGGCAATTTTCGGAAAATATCTGTTCGGAAGACGATTTGAGATCTAGAATTTTCGGAACATTTGTTGTAAAATTTCTTGCTTGCCTACCTCTCCTAGGATTTTCGAACATCTACAAAATGGTATAATTACCCATTTTTAACGGATTTTTACCCTAAAAAAGGCCAGCTAGAATTTTCGGGAGCCTTTTCCTGGCTGAAATTTTCGAAAAGGTAAGTTTTGATGCCTATAATTTTCGGATCACTAGACTTTCAGCTAGGAAATCCGAACAGATGAAACATTTTTAGGGGATAAAAATGTGCCTTTTTTATCTACCGTTTAAATACTAAAATACGTTCAACAATGCTATGTTAAGTGGTTTTGAACTATATCCTCGTTGGGTGCCCCTGGAAAATATCAAATGAAGGCGAAATTTTCAGGAATTGATTTCTTAGGGACCGCACTCAAGCTTAAAAAGACAAAGAAAAATTCGTCGTGGCCTGTTTACGTCCATTATAAAACGTGCAATTAGGCATTTACGTCGTAGTCGTGTAGTGACGGCCAAGAAATCATGATGCACAAAAACGCGTGATGCACGTACAAAGTTGTTGCTTGCTAATAAAAGCAGTTACCTTTTTTGCCGTCGTCATTGTTAAAGCTCCCTATTACAGAGGCTGTAATCCGTCGGCTTAAATATTGTTCCAGTTTTTATTAAATCTGGGCTGGTGGCAAAACCAAAAAAACCACCTGTGAAAACCTAAATGAGAGCAAATAACTCTTTTCTCCCAAGTCCTGGCCGTTAACCATTTCTCTTTATTCAGTCCCTCTAGACTTGGATGTCAAGTTCAAAGCCATTTTAATGGGAGCTTGTTTCCTTGTTGTAAGTATTCATGACATAATCGGTCCCTTTGACTGTAAGCAAGCCCTCTATTTTGAGTGGCGAGGGAAGTCGTCCGCCAGAGAGCGCGCGAGTGAGCGGCTAGCCTGCGACCAAGCTCTCCATTTGGGGGATATCGTGAAAAGTACACGCGCGAGAGGCACGCGAGAGGAGACGCGACTGCGGGCGCCGGCCCCTTCGCGGCTTCGCCGCTCGCTCGCGCGTTCTCGCGCGGCTCGCTTCGCTCGCCCAAATAGGAGAGCTTGCTCGCAGGCTAGTGAGCGGCGTGTTACTTCTCGCACCCAAATGGAGAGTTTGCTTACAGGCTACGTTGCCCAAGGCAGTTAAACGTCCACTCATGTAAATGAAAATCGCGCTCACATGTGGTTAAGGGTGCGTTCGATTAACTTTATTCTAAAATAGTCGTTCTTGGTAGTTTGCAATCACATGACCAGGCGACCATGTTGGTTGACAAAACAGTACATTTTTGTTCGTAGAATTTGCACGGAAAAAGATATTTATCGTTGCCAGCGAAGGGGAAGGCTTTTGTTCATGTCAACCAACCCGTTTTCAAAAATATCCCAAACGTGTGGACATAGCAGGGCCTGACATTTTGAGATTGTACGTTTCACCAATGGGGTTTAGAGTCGAAGAAAAGATTTTAGCGCTCCTGCTTGGGCCTATAAAATCTGCGAGACAGCCGTTTTTAGTGTCGTCACGCAACGCTCGATCCTCTTGTGGGAAGGAGCGTTGCGTGACGACACTAAAAACGGCTGTGTTGCCGACTAGTTTGGGCCACTCACTACATGATCATCAACTAATTATGCCCCATTCACACCAAAGCTTATACATGTTTTGTTAAACAGGGTTCAAAATTGTTTCCTTAATAAAAGCTGCTCACGGACTTTTAGCTATTACAAATTACGTGCAAATTACAGAGTAAGTTAAAATTTAGTGAAATATTGTGTAAATGTCTGAGTTCCAGTTGTCCATCACTGCTTTTCATTTTTTAAAATCTAGTTTAATTAAACAGGTTTAGTTGATGTGAATGAGTTTTCCCACGGGTTAGGGGGTGGAGACGTATGACATTTCAAACTAAATATTTATATTTCTTTGGTTTGTTTGTTTCTCAGGATTTTATGTTCTTTGAACATCAGAACAACAACAATTGATACTCAGTCGATGCGGTTACAAATCAGTTAACCTTTGGAAGATATGTCCTTGTAGCTTTATACTCATTTCATTTATTTACATTGTATGCTACAGCGCGTGCTCAACCCTAGGAATGATTATTGTATTTAATTATTGTATTTAATTATTCTATTTTAATAAGCGCCTCAAATGCGACGCTTTTTCGAATAATACGGTATCTTACGCTACTATACAGGGAACCTTCCCTTCATCAAATAACTTACAAGACGATTATTTTCGTGCAATTTCTGATGCGATTTTGCATCGCTTATGCAACCTAGCAGCGATTTTATTGCCATTTTTCATTCTGGCCCCTGTCGTTCAAACGTTGGATAGTGCTGTCCACTTGAAATAGCGTTATCCAGCTTTGGAACAACTGGGGCCTGGAACCAATATCCAGACAACCCTTGGAGGCTTGACCCTCGACCTCGCAGTGAAAAACTTGCGATCGAGGCTAGACAGGTAAAACAAAGCTACTGTAGTCTCTCGAGACAAAATGGCCGCCGTGTAACGAAGGCCCGTAGTGGTAATCACGTGACCGTCTGTACGTCCTAACGTCCGTTCACTCCTACATGTAAGCCAGTGTCAAATGTCACAATTACTACGAGCACTATACTAAGGCGGGCAGTGTAGGAGCTACTCGTAAAGTCTCTCCTAATTGGTCGCAGGAAACAATGACATGTCATTCTTCCAATTGTTTTAGTATTGTTTGGGGTCGGAGAAACGCACCATTGGTGACTTTTCCGAGCAGCTGCTACGTGACACCGGGTAAGGCATGGCAGGAGCCCATGGAAAACGACAAAAGCCTGTCAGTTATATACGCCATCCATATGAAGATGAACTGGCAGCCGTCAAAGCCGAGTCTTTTTTTTTTTTTCGACTAAGACGTGTAACTAGGACTTTTCACGTTTTAGCTGTGCAAAATTATGACAAAGAAGTGTACAAAAAAAAGTGTGCAGCACGTGCAAAGTCGTTTTTTTTTTGCCAATCAGATTTATCGTATTGTTGTTTTTTTTTTTTTTTTCTTGCCCTTTACCGTTTTCTTTCTTTAATTTTTTTTTTTGTTTAATCATTAGTATAAATGAGAGTGTCTTGCTTTATCCCCTTCAACAACCATTAAAAGTACAAAATATCTTTGTAAAATCTAAAATATAAAAAGGCTACAAGCGGTGTGTTTTTTGTTTTTTCGATTAAGGTGTGTAACATGGACTTTTCACATTTTAGGTGGTCAAAATTTTTACAAAGAATTTTTAAAAAAAAAGTGTGGAGGACGGGGAAAGTCTTTTTTTTTTTGCCAATAAGATTTATCGTTTTGTTGTTTTTTTTTTTTTTACCGTTCTCGTTACCGTGTCGCTATTTAGAATTTTTGTTTGTGTAAACTATAAGTATATGAACGAGAGCTTCGCTTTAAGCCCTTGCTAAACCTATAAAGTAGAAATAAATACTTTTAAATCCTTAAAAATAACAAATATCTAGTGCATACTCTCATACCACTTGTAATAATGTAATGTCGAAAAAATGAATTAAATTGAAGCCTGTTTTCCATAAATGCCGTTTTTGAGTTAGAAGTTAATAGCTGCCGAAAGCTAGTCAGAATTTTTGCTTGTCTTATATCAGGAGGTTAAACTGTTTTACAGTACAGCCATGCGGTAGCAGTAGCTATTTTTATAGTAATTGGTACGTGACAAGAGACTGCAACGCACATACGCTCGTGCGTACAGCTGAAATCTAAAAAAATATATTTTTCCTGAAAGCGTTTTTATCATTTATCGGAATGACTGATTTTCCACATTACACTGGTGTCTTTGCTTGCCTGATGGGTAGCCGTCTCGCCCCCAGTGCTTGTAACCTTATTGGCTTCACTGTTTCACTCTTTTCCCCATAAACACTTTACCTTACCTATTACAATAGAGATGGGTAAACTAAACAAACAACTGTCGCCTGTTCCGTCATTTTCGAGCCCTTAAATTTAATGAATTTCAAAGGAGATATGCCTCCAAACCTCCCTAGTTTGGAGCGCCTTCGGTGGTCTACCTTTTCTTCCTCTCTTCTTCACGCTGCTACAATGTATAAATTTGGAAGAAAGGTAATCAAGCGTAAGGCAATTTGCAAAGGTAATAGCATGATTTGTAGTGATATTTAGCATAAATACCACGAGTGATATTTCGAAATTGTTATAGGTAATTTCACGAGCCTTTAGGCGAGTGAAATTTCAGATAATTTTGAAATATTACGGGTGGTATTTATGCCAAATATCTCGTACAAATCATGCTATTATTTGTTTATACTACTACCCGCAAAAGGTTTGTAATTTTCACATCTAGGTATTTCAAATTAAGCTGAAATACCACTGCTCTAAGCCAATCAAATTACAGAAATTTCCCATGTAGTAGTATAAAAGAGTTGTACGCCATCTCTGCCATATCAATAGGCCACTTCCGAGTTCCAAAAACCCTCACTTTTAAAATGAGGCCAAGTGCACAACCTTTTTGTGTGAAAATCATTTTTATTTGCACAATTTCATATCAAAGGCTGAGCACTTAACCTCGTTTTGATACAGCGGCTCGGGAGAACTCGGAAATGGCCTACTAGGCGCTGGGTTTCAATTTTTGTTCATCCCAAGCCAGTTTTAAGAGCGGATGTCTGTAAAAATAGATCAGAAAGGGGGGATATAATTTTTTTAAAAAAATCCCCCCAAATTCTATAATTTAACAGACGGCGATTACAGCAGGCTCTCAGCGACCCGGTCAGCTGATAGTAATCTATGCCTAAACTCTACGAAGACCAAGATCATGCTGTTCTCAACTCAATCAATCAATCAGTCAATCAATATAGTAATTTTTTTCCTTTTTTTTTGTCATGCGTTTCATACATGAGCCCCCGCGCCGGCTCGGATTCTGAGGGCTCAATCCCACACAATGACTTTAAATAAATTGATTGATTGATTGATTGATTGATGAAAATACTGTATAAATTTTAGTTTCATCGGATAAGTATTTTATTGTTGCCAAATACTGCGAGTGTCGAGTGCAGGCGATTTACGACCGGGTTGCAAGACCGCTTTTTTGGGCCCCAGGTAGACCAGGCTACGAAAAGAAAAAGACCTTGATTTCGATCATACAACCCAGAAATCTTCTTATCGGAGGACCCCGGAGTATAGCTAAAGGCCGTGGGCCGTAGGCATGCAGGGGTCGTTGATCGTGGGTGAAGTTCGTGATGTCTTGGGTAAAACACAAACGTATAGAAGGAAAAAAAAAATAGAACAAAAAGGAACTGTGCAAGTTTGCAAGGCACCTCAAGCAAGAGGCAAGTAAAAGCCGAGCAAGCATATTCACTACGGCAAGCACCTGTCACATCAGTTCCACGCAGTGTATTCCGGATTCCAGATACTGCCAGTGGAACTTGGATTCCGGATGTCAATCGTTAGTTGGATTCCGAATTCCTAGAGCCGTATTCTGAATTCCAGGGTTTTGGATTCCGCAAGGAAAAATTTCCCGGATCCTGGAAGTGACGGTACACATACGAGGTAGGTGAATTACAAAATAATACCGCTGTCCATGAAGGCACGACAACTGGCGCGAGCAGGGCGGATAGAAGCGAGACGCGCTACGGGGTATGCTGTCACAGTAAAGTGCTTGGTCAAGGACTGTCAAGCTTGCTGCATTTCTAGTACAAAAATGGCTCAGCCTCAAAAGCCTGTCCAGCAGCAACCAGGTATATCTGCTTAAATCGCATTTTTTTAACACATAAAACTACTTTTAACGGGAAAAACGGAATACGCAAGACTGGCGAAATAAATGCGAATTTCGCAGAAGGCTCGCACGCACTTCACGCTATTGATTTCAGGGTATTTACAGCTAAAACATCAATATACTGGAGAGTTTGAAACCCAAACCCTTGAGTTAAGAGATAAATCGTTTTTAATTATGTATAGGATATTTGATCACAAGTCTAGAACGTGCAGGAAACATACTCACCTATTTTGATAACATTCGGCATGCATTTCAGGGCATTTGCATCCGAGTTTTATTTCTCTGCAGGTGTTGCGACTAGAGTAATTCTACGCAGTAAAACGAGCAAAATTAAAACGGGGATGTTACACACTAAAAGGCTCTGCTTTTCGACTGACACTCACTGTTGTCAATATTAGATAGCTGATTACGAATGTTAATGTTGTTTACAGACTTTGTAAGGTTCCCTCGCTGAATTATTATTCAAATGCTCTGAAGCGGAATTTCTTGGAGGCTTAATTTAAGTTATGTTAATATTTATGCCTTTTCCCTCGCCTTGCTTTTTTGTGGCAGGAGATATTAACCTACCGTAACAAATTAATGTTCTTTAGAAATATTTCCTTCAAGTCCTAAAAAATATTAGTTAATGATTTCCTGTATTTTATTTTATTCCTGTATCAAACACAGCTGTTAGAACTACCTGAAAGGATCTTAAGAGTTTGCAGAATTAGCAGAATTTATATGGCTATAAGTTGCAGTAAACCCCTTTAGCCTCTATGTTTTGTTTTTGCAATGTAGGTTATGTGATAATAATATTACTCCAGAATTCGTCCTGACAGCATTGTTTGCATAAGTTATAAAAATACTGATGAGGTAAATTCTCCCGAGACTGTCTCTGGGAACCCAAAACATACAAGATGACGAGGTCTATCAAAGGGATATACCTAAAATACCCACATTTAGACAACTGTAAAAATTAACAAAATTATGAGACCAAATTAATATAATTAAATAGATCTAATCATGCTTTTGGAAGCCATCTTGTCGGGTGTTAGTATGAGAATCTAATGTCAAATTATTTTTGTAGAAAAGCTGTTCTGCAGTTTTTCCCGGGAAATTTTAGTGAGCAGGAAAAAAACATTTGCAGACATTAATGAATGGGAAATTTCATAAAGTGGTTCTAGCACAGATAAGGCTCTCAAATTTTTTCAGTAGAATCTTTAGGAGTGAAGCTTTAGTTTACAACAATA